CTGGAAATACTGTTTAACCTGTTTGCATTTCTTATTCTAGGTCTCTAAAACTGAAATAATTATAACTTGTAAGTTTCTTGATAGGATTGAAAGAATATTTATGTATAAAACCCTTAAAACTGCGCCTTTATATAGTGAGCACTCTGTTCTTACTAAGTGCTGTTGTTATTAGTGCTAATGAGGTTCAAGCCCTGAGCATGACCAGGGACCCGGGCCCTGCTCATCCCCCCTGCCTCCTGCACGCCCTTTGTTACGGTTCCTGTCACTCTGTTCCACAAAAGCCAGATTTTTATTCCGAAACTGTATTATCCCTTTCCTGCTTATCTTTGTTCACGCTGCACCAGCGATTCACCGTTCAACATTAGCTTCGCACAGCCTATTTTCTATTAAGCTTCCGCCAAATAAAATGGAATGTTGCCACCTCTGTCCCCAGCCAGATATTTTGCACACAGTTCTTCACTTCTCCTTTTCCCCTTCTTCTTCTAGACTGTGAACCTTTCAAGGGCAGGGCAAGTGTGTTAGAGACTCTCATAGCCATGTTATAGAGAAGGCATTAAGAAAAATGTATGGTGAACTAAAGAAGGTTTAAAGACTCTGTGTAGTAACTCTGAAGTCATAAAATTCTATTTAAAGTATAGCCACAGACTTTGGCTCCATGACCTCTTCTGGCAGCAAATCTCATTTATGCCTATAAATGGCATAAAGTAATTGTTATTTGTTCAAAATTCAATGTCCTATAATTGTGTCTAGTGATTTAAGACACTCCTGTTAATGGAATTCACTTTCCCTTATGTCTGACATGTTTCTAACAACATCATTCAGTCTTCTATAGTTTTCTTCTTTGTGAAATGGGTGGTGCTTTGTGCAGCTGTTTCCCTGTTCCTTTTATTTATAAGTCATACAGTATTTTTCTTAATAATTTGCACTATCTTGAATCAACTGGTTCAGAAGTAACTGAAAATAATTACAGTAGAACCTCTGTATGTTGACCACCCAAAGTACTGTAACAAACTGGTCAACATACAGGAGTGGTCAACATAAGGAACTAGGCCTACTGTGTTTATATGTACCTAGGGTGCATGTCCAGTCTGTGGAAATTAGGTTCACTTAAGGAGGTGGGCAATGTAGGGAGGTGGTCATGTATGGAGGTTCTACTGTGTATGAAATAATGAGTCTCCATATTTTTCTTCTTCAGTAAATTTTACTTAAATCTACTCAAACATTCTGCATAAATCTCTAATTTTCATTATTTAAATTATTCTTTCTGTACAGTTGACCTAATTTTCATAGATAAGACTTGTACCACATATACTCAATGGAAAATTCCTTACATTGTTCTGCTATAATTACGGCTAAAAAATGCATTTGTGTTTATAAAATGATTGAATTGGATTTTATCCTATATCCCAAGTCCAAATATTTCTTTCTGCCAAATTCAACAACCACCACTGTCTTTCAATCCAGCACCTTTGAACTGGCTGCTGCTTTCAGGGTTGCCCCTCTATTATCAAGGGGACACTTGAACCAATCCTTTCAATTTTAATCAGCATATGCTAGTCTCCCAGTCAAAACCCTCCTGTATTCATTGTACTATCAATAAACTCTGACCTCCTTACAGTGGCCTTTGAAACCCAACATTGCCTGCTTATCTAGCTTCCCCTGCCCCTACCATGGGACCTGGGGTCATCACAGCTACAAGCATTTTTCTGGGATTTTTGTTCTTCTCCTTGAACATGCACTGCTTATTCCTGTCCTAGTGCCTCCTCCCCTTGTAAAGCAAGATCTTGAATATAATGAAGGCTTGAGTCTTTATCTTCATCTCAAACGTGACCTCCTTCATGAAGCTTGTCTTCCCTTATGGACTTCCGTCACTGGATGTATCCAGTCCCACTGTTAGGAGCCGCAAAGATGCTGACATGTCTCGCAGTTCTTTCGAAGCTCTGTCTCTGCCTAATGGCCCTGCTAATTCAGTCTACCCTGGGTCAGATTCCTCAAAGGCTCTTCTACTTCCTTCTTCTGATTCGTGGTTAAAAGTAAGACCCTCACAAACCTCCAGGGCTAAGCCATTTTGCTCTTAGACGACCCATCTCCCCTAGCTCATTATCCAGGCCACATAATAGCCATGGGAAACTTGGGATTGCAAACTGCATCTGTCAGGCCACAGAACCCTGTTAACTACTGGGGTTACTGTATGTTCACATGGGATTTCTCAGCGCAGTAATCTCTTTCCCCCTATTTTAAGCTGGAACCCTTAGCATCCCTCAATTTAATGTGAAATTTCTAAAACTGTTCCCTATGGAGGCTTGACCTCAAAATGTTGAGAGGAGAAAATAAGAGTTGTGTCAGACACTTTCTTCATTGACTGTGCTCTTTCTACCTATTCTGATGTTTCTCAAAGGAATAGATGAAGGCCTTTTTTCCTCTTCCCACGTGATTTTAAGCTCTTAAATAAAATTCTCTACAAACCCAGTCATTTTATATTTGTTGACAAATATCAAGATGAACAGTAATAACATTAATAGCATTTAATATTATTTAAATTACTAAATCTCTTGGCAGAACTTCCAAATAATAGACTAATCTACTAAGCCTGTTATTGATATGGTAAGACAAAAATAACCACACACCAAAATAAAGCTTTAATGACATAACCTGAGTGTTCCTTTCCCACCTGTACCCCTCAGCAGGTCAGTAACTTGACTGCTGTAAAAGGAAAACCATGCATGAAAGCAAAGGTAAAAATGTATTATCTTTATTTGACTGGTTTAGACACGAATGCAGTAAATGGAAGAGATTGAGGTTCTCCTTGCATGTAATAGAAAAAGGAAAATAGAGATAATAACCATATTCAAATAAAATATTATCAACAAAAATAAGCACAAGACTCTGTCATTTATCCAGTATGCTGACCCATTAAATCCTAGTCATGATTTGGAAAATATACACACATATAATCACTCCTAAAACACACATGTACAAAGCTGTTACCATATAGATAACAGGACTCAGGACTCTTGCTGGCCTTCATTATTTGCTCTCATTCTAGGAAGAATTCTAAATGTTTGATTTTTCTGACTTCCCTGCCAAGGTCATTTTGAAAGCATGAAATCAGATGTTGGATGCTAAAATAAAACAGATACAATGAAAACAAGAATGGCATTTGATGTTGAGACAAGAAATAGTACAAAAAAAATTACAGATGCTCTGGAACCAGTTTATATGGGTATAAATACCTTTTCTCTATTTTTACTAGGTTATTGAGTGTTTAGATCCTATGTGAATATTGTATTTGTGCTTTAACTTTGTTAAACTTTGTTCCTAAACACATATGTACATGGTTTCAATAAAGAAACTTAATCTGCCCTATAAAATGTTTCATTATTTTGTTCTAATTGGGAGTTATCACAGTATTGAAATTAGATAACTAGGCAAAATAGTCTTATAAATGATGTCCAGAGAGCCCTGTGCAAGTGAAGGCTATGATAAGAAAAAATAACTTTGAAGTTAGGTCAGGATTTGACCCCTAGCTATCATACCTTGTGGCATCTCAAGTTGTATGCATTCCAGAACCTTGTAAAATGAGGAAAATAAAACTTATCTTACAAAAAGTTTGTGATGATTAAGTGATAGTCACACACCACTACAAAAATACTAAACACATATTACAAAATATAGATAAAGTTATTCATCTACAACATCTTATACCTTTGGGAAAAGAATAATTAGGTACGATTTAACTTTAAAGACATGTATTTCTTCATCTTTGCATTACCTTTAAATGTGTTTAAATTCAGTATCAAATTATAAGAAGAAAAGTACTAAATTAGGTGAAAAATTAAATTATTTTCTTTATGATCCATCCTAAGCTATGAGTAAATCCACGGAAAAATCAGACTGAATTTTGTTTAAAAATCTACTGATTCCAAGAAGAAAAAATTCATGTGTTAGAGGGACATAAAATTGGAATAAAAGATTGTGTGTGTGTGTGTGTGTGTGTACACACACGTAGTTAGTGGAGGATACCTAACACTTTCGGTAACATTTAAGAGGCTGAGTGTGATTTTGACAGGGAAGAAATTCAAACAATGTAATTGTGGAAGCATTACTTTTAAGGAAGAAATTATGTCTGCCCTTTAGTTTAAGTGCTTCTATAGTTTATAGATACTTGTTCTTGATTGAGGTGATGAAAGCTAGTGGGTCATTTTCCCACTTTGAATTAAATCTAATCTTTATTCATTATAGAATAAATAATTCAATAAAATTTTAAAGTGTTTTCCCCATTACATCAATAATGTAAGTTGGCACACATGAACAGGAAAATGAAAGATGTTTACAGAAATCATCTACTTATGTGATCTTTATTTTGCTAAGCATACAGATAATGATCCAAATGATTTAGTAGCCTTGTTTCATAGGAGTTGTTTTGTGTTTTGTGATATGAACAAAATTTATTTTGCACACGGAAAACAAGAGACCATGAAATATTACGTATTTAGTTATCAAAATATTTTATACTCACTTTCTTAACATTTCAATTATAACATTCATTCTTTTTAATATTTTCCTCATTGTATATTTTAATGACTTAAATTATGGAATAGAACTTTTCTAAAAATTGAAAGAAATTCCAAACTAACATAAGCGAAGAACACAATAATACATACAGAAAGGTATATGTTTGTGTGAGGCATGATTCCTTTCAGATCTCTTTGGTAATTTAGCTACATTTATAGGACACTCAGCACCTTTAACTAATGTGATTATTTTTTTCTCTCTTTCTCATCAGGTTTAGCATGTAATAACTCAAGGAGCTGATAATATAGTGGCGTGGTTTAACAACTGTCTATGTGCTTCCCATGATATGTTCTCTATATTGTAAGTACATATTTGCTTTCTCAGTCTATCCTGACTGTGCTATAAATGTGTTCAGTTAGAATGAATAGATGACTTAGGTTGTTCCTGAAAATTATTAGGTAAAACTCATCCAAGGTATAAAATAGTTTTAGAAGGTTATCTTATGTGAAGAGATCACCTGTAAATTTAACATTGTGTCAAAGTTAAAGCATAAAAAATTGTTTATTATGGTAGGATAATATTGTTTAATTATACTTTTATAAGTCTTATATTTAATATTCTTAAGATTTCCCTACTCTTTAGTTTTCTTGAAAAATGTAAATATTTATTAAACATGCAAAATTTTGTGCTAAAGTCTTAAAAGTTCTTCAAATGTCTTTTGAAAAATATAATTTGTAATGTAATATAAAGTTCAAGTCAATTTCTTTCTACATTTGTTATCTTTTTAAAGTGAGAATTAATTTTGGTTACTAACATGTGTACCACTAAATCATTCATAAATACCGAGTGTGCCCAAAATGTATATATATTTTAAGAAA